ATATTATATTTTTCAAAAAATTAAATGCAGATTGTATTTACACAATTTTTATCTTAATTTTTTTTCTTCATATTTTATCGTATTTTTATTATAAGATACAAAGAATTAAGTTAAAAAAATTAAGGACAAATTGCATGAAAAAACATTGTATTTAATTTGATTCATATTTTTAACTTTCATTATGATACAAAGTTTTAAACATTTAAATATCATAGTGATATGACGAGTGATGTGATATTCAATTTAATATTATTTGCAAAAATAAAAATAATAAAAAACAAATTAAATGTTTTAATATTTTTATTATACAATATATTTATTTTTATATTTATCTAAAATCATATATGATAATTATATTAATAAACTTCGTGTTTATATGTATAGATAATATATTTTATACAAATATATATATATATTTAGAATATACATATAATAAAAAATCTAAATTATAATTAAAATAATCATTAAGTTATAACATAATGTTTAATATTTATCTTTATAAAATAAATTGCAAATTTGCAATATTAAAACTAAACTAATATAACCCTTTACATTTGTACAACCAATACAACTCAATCTCAACCGTCCATTTAATTTGATGAATATGTGATTTCATATAAGTTTTGATTGTTTCCTAATATAAAGTATTGATCATAATTAATAAACTTTATTCATCTTCCATAAATATTCAAATCATAATTTAAATGAATTCTCATCATTTCCATAAACATCTCAATTTATTGGGTTGCATTGATTATACAAATGTGATAGGTTGCATTTAAAACAAACTCTCTCTCTTTATATATATATATATATAATAATTCATTATACAACTTTAATCAAATAAAATAACATGAATGAGTATGACATTATTTTTTTAAGCATATAACAATTTATATACACACTTTTCATATCTGGTAAAAATTAAACCCTTAACTTCCAGAGAGTTTGTGCTCTATCAGTGACTCAAGTACTGTTGAGCCAATGACGGTTCTGGTACGATACTACACGTTACCTGAACCATCATTGGCACTTACAACGAACCTCGCCTTTGCCTTCGATTTCGAATCATCGAGGTAATGTTGATACACATACGAAATCGAGCCCCATAAGGCAAGAAGCAACGCGATGGCCTTCACGCCATCCATTTTATCTCCGAAAAATATAACAGCAAGAACGGGAACGACAGGCAACCCCAACGTACTAATCACATTCGAGAAAAGAGATGAGACTTCAAATATCAACCCCAAAATCCCAACCGAACAAATTTGCCACGCGATCGCTATCCACACCAGTGTCATTACGTACGAAACCGACCCTTCTTTATAATCATTCATCTCAGTTTTTAACCCGCTCCATTCTCCGCTCGCAAAAAGTCCGACCACACAACCGCAGGTCGCAATGAACGAAGGGTATATTTGCATTTCTAACACCACTCGGAAGTTTTCACTCTTGATTACCTTTTCGAACGATAGTTGCAAAAGGGAAAGATATAGAGAATAACCGGCGGATGCACCTAGAGTGCATAAAAACCCGATTACGTATTTCCCTTTCGAGATTTTTGTCGAGTTATCTGAATCCGAATTAACAGCAAGAAGGGAGGCAGAAACCGTGAGTAAAAACAGAGAATTAATGATCAACGAAGTGAACTTTTGCGAGTTTAATAGAAACGAAAAAAGGGCGTTGAATGCCAATTGAGTTGCACATAGTAAGGAATACGTAGATACGGGAAGGTACAGGAGACCGTAAGAATACATCAAGTTATCACCGGTCAAGAGTAGGCCAAAGAATACGTAAAGAAGCAAAAGGGCGGAGATGGGCGGCGAGGATGTGGCGGCAGCGGCGGAATTGACGGACGGAAAGAAGAAAAGTAGGATTGGGATCAAGATCGGGAAGCCTGCAGATTGAACGAAAGTAGCCATCCATTTACTATTACCACCTTTGTCATAGTAAAGTCTACCCAAAAGGGTGGCGGTTGCTTGACCGGCTAACAGAAATATAACGTAAACTGCCACACGGAACCACCATCGGTAGTTTCGAGGTTTCGGAATTTGAACTACAGCGGTAGAACTCGAGGAGATCCCGTGATCGCCATCTTTAGCTGTCAAGAAGAAAAAATAACAGAGAAAGATGACTTCAGTACCACCTTTTACAAAAAGGAAACAGTTTGTTAGCAGCTTAATAAGACTCGCTGCTTATTCGGTCAGCCATACATGACTATTTGGTAGTGGCTTAATAATATAGAAAGTGGCTTATTCAGTAAGCTTTTAGAGATGAGTTTTATGCAGAAAACCAAGTTTTTTTTTGTCCCTCCAAATTAAAGCACGCTCTTTCCATCTGTGGAAAAACCCTCCCAAACAAAACCTTCCAAATCTATACAGACAGATTAATCCACATAGCCAGTTTTATCCATACAGGACTTAGGGGTTGCATGATTGGTTTTCCATTAAGTCCTGTATGGATAAAGCTGTCTGCATGCATTAATCTGTCTGTATAGATTGGAATGGTTTTTGTTTGGGAGGGTTTTTTTCATATAGATGAAATGAGCATGTTTTTTAATTGGGATATGCACGTTTTGAAAAATATTGGCTTTCTGCATAAAGCTCTCCTTTGAAGCTTACTGAACAAGCCATTTTCAATATCATCAAGCCACTACCAAACAGTCATGTATAGCTGACTGAATAAGCTGTGAGTCCCATTAAGCTGCTTTAATGGAAAACCAACCAAACCATCCCTTATGATTCAACAGACTTCAACACCACCTCTTATCAATAAGAAGTGAAACAAGACTTCGGAGTTCAAAACATACTTGTGGTTTGCAGTTCCACTTCTTGAACGGAATGCGCCATGGAATCGATAGAATCGAAACCTGCAAGAAGTACCAATGAGTTCTTGAAACAGAAAAAATCCAACTTCGCTTAACTGAGTTCTTTGCATCTAAGAAATCCATATATTCCACTTTTGGGTGATTGAAAGTTTGACTTTTTTTAGTTTCTTGACTTTAGATATGATGATGACATTTTTCTAACAAAATCTGATGGTTGGTGATGAGCCACGTCATAAAGTCTATGTGAACTAAAGTTTGACCAATCTAAAGGTGGTCAAAATTGGCTTCCATTGTTGCTAGATATACACAAGCAAGGGATAACCATTAGGGTCAGCTCAACTGGCAGACAAAAACTAGGTCTTGGGGTTTCTCCTCGTTTATTTTAAAAAACGTCCTAAAAAACTTGTTAAAACGTCTAAAAGCGTTCTATAAATCTATTATAACACTTTTAGAGAGGATGCTTTATAGTTTGGTCCTATAAACCTAAGTTCTATAAAGTATTCTATTAGGACGCTTAGACAATTTAGGCTTCCTATAAATAGATCTATATCTATAGGACCAAACAATAAAACGTCCTATTTAAAAGATTTTCTTGCGATGTAAATAGACAATTTCATAAACGGAAAGATAAACTTCATTAACTAGACTGCAAAAAGATCCCGATTTGTAGAGGCTTTGATGTTTAGGCCACCCCCAAGAGTTGGAACCGTTGATTTAAATAGGAATTTAGATTGCATACAAAGTTGGAAGTCGGGGATTTAAGGTTCCGAAATTCCTTCAAGATCTTTAAAGCTTCACCTTTCAAGAATTCGCAGTTAATCCAGTTATCGTCGTCTTTGTTCCTTCTGTTATTCAGACTTTAAATTGTTTCCTATCGTGTTTGATCTAGTTTCAGGTCCATCATTCCTTCTCCACATATCATATGAACATGTTTAGGGTTTAGGGTTTAGGGTTTATGGTGGATCAACAGATTTCTTGATTCATTTATAAATAAAGTATTGCAAGTTCAGATTTTTATACTTTAGGAGACTCAGATCAGTGACTCAGGGGAAACCGACTATAGAACCCGCTTGCATATACCAATTTAACGCGTCCAACAAATTAAAACAACGCCATAAAAATAAAAAAGATTACTACAAATAATCAATTACCGTATGTATTCATGGAGAATTTGTTAGATGATAAAATACGTACCTAGTTCTCCATTTTAGCTTCTTTCTTGCATCCGCTGTGTAGCTCAGTTGGCAAAGAATGGGGCGACTTTGCCCAAATTTTAGCTTCTTTCTTGCATCTGATGTGTAGCTCAGTTGGCAAAAGGGTGGGGCGACTTTGCCGAAACTTTAGCTTCTTTCCCGGCTTTAAATGCAGAAGCCGAATTCTTGATTTCCAGAAAATGAAAAATCTGCTATTTATAAACTTGATTCTTATACTGTTTTTAAACAAAAAGAAGCATATCTTTTGTGAATAACGATATGAACATGAAAATAGAAGTATATACCGACATGAATGTGGTGCTTCGTGTGTAACGCGTATGTATAATAACGAGTTAAATCCGACATGATGTGCTTCAGATGACAACTTTTATAGAAAAATACCGTAGTAAGACTTCATGAGTCGTGATATCAAAGCAAGTAAGCAACACCATACAAAAGCAGAAAGCACCCAGAAAATCACTACACAAACAAAAATTGACTTTATAGGTCCCCTAAAATGTATGCCCCTAATAAAAATCGACTTTATAGGACCAAACCAAAAAGTGTCTTATCTAAAAGTGTTACAATAGGTTTATAGAACGCTTTTAGGCATTTTAACAAGTTTTTTAGGATGCTTTTAGAATAAAGTGTCATATTAGCTATTTTATACGACACTATTTGAAAAAGCGTCCTATAAAAATATGGGTTTATAGGACACTTCTCATAAATGTCCTACAAAAGAGTTAATATGAGACTATTTTAAAATCGTCCTAAAGAACTTGTTAAAACGTCCAAAAGCGTCCTATAAACCTATTGTAACACTTTTATATAGAAGCTTTATGATTTGGTCCTATAAACTTACGTTTTATAATGTATTCTATTAGAACGCTTAGACATTCTAGGCGTCCTATAAAGCCAATTTTGTTGTACTGAGTGTCGGCAATCTAGCGACTTAGAGACTCGATTCACAGCCATATCTGATGGTATCCATAGATTTAAGAACATAACAATAATGATTTGATTATTTGAAGATCAAACGAAAGGAATGTAATAAAAGAGGAGTCTAATTTGCGTATCAAAAGCAACACTTCCATTTGTGCGTTTTTGGTTAAACTTGCTTGTTAACATCCTAAAAAATAGAAAAAAAATGAGCAATATCAAACAAACTCAGTAAATCCCACACAGAGTTGGGGTCGGAGTTGGATGAACGTAGACCTTGTGTCTACCCTAAAGCAGACAATATATGGTACGGTTAGCCCGAGATTATCAGAACGTTGTGCTTCCAATGGGGTGGATTGGTTGGGGAGGGGAACAAAGGTTGCCTTATAAGGGATTATTAGGCGCTTTTTAAAAGCATGAGTCCAAGTATGGACAAAGCGGACAATATCTGGTACGATTAGGCTGGGATGTTGCAAATCCCATGGCAAATTGCAACAGTAGGTTTCACCCGGAGCCCTCAGATAAATCTCCTAGTGGCCACAAGCGCAAATGTAGATGACAAGATTCAAACTCGGGCTGATTCTATCATCAACTTGTCTTTATCCACCACGCTCCCACCGTCAACGTTCTTGTTGTTGAACCTTTTGGGTACCATGACATAAAGCAACATTTGAGTGCGATAAAAGATTCGAAAAACCGATAGATTCTTAACCAACAACATAAACGTTGACCTTCTATAACGAAATAATTCGTTACTAATTATAGTTGTTCACAACACGATATATAATGCACCATACCAGAACGACACCACACAATCATTACTCGATCGACTTAACTAATTAAAAACCGTCCATAACGAAACTAATTTACTCTTAACTTTCTACGACACGCAAAAGCATCCTATTAACAACAAAAGACCGCTAAGGGTTTACTATTACGAAACTAATTTGATCTTAACTTTCTACGACGTTGTCTTCTTGGCGGAGCCGGCACACAATGACCCGAAGGTTCAACGAGCCCATTCCGCCACCATTCCTCATACCGTGCAGTCGTGCATCCTTCAGCGTGTCTCGATGGGAGGAATATGATTTCGTTCTTTAAAGATGTAGCATAGTCGTCCCAAGCATCTTTGTTGTTTTCTAGCTGCAAAACATCTCCAGGTATATCTTGATCATATCCAAATTGCTTCGATACC